CTGTCCCCGCACAGGTGACAGCCCGCGCGGGGCGGTGGCACCGCGGGCTCGGGAAACTCTGAGTCACGGCCGCGGGGCCAGCGGGGGGGACGGGGACAGCGACAGTGACAGCGACAGCGACAGCGACAGGGACGGGGACAGCGACAGGGACAGGGACAGCGACAGGGACAGGGACAGCGACAGGGACAGCGACAGGGACAGGGAGGGGACAGGGACAGGGACAGGGACAGGGACGGGGACGGGGACAGCGACAGCGACAGGGAGGGGACAGGGAGGGGACAGGGACGGGGACAGCGACAGCGACAGCGGCCACACCTGGGGACAGCGGCAGCCGCGGCCACGGGTGAGACACCCGGGGACACTCGGGGACAGCTGGGCCACCCCCCGGGACACCCTTGGGGACAGCGGGGGACCTTTGGGGACAGCTGCGACACCCCGGGGACAGGTGGGGACCTTTGGGGACAGCTGGGGACCCTTGGGGACACCTGGGGACCCTTGGGGCACTCAGGGGCACCCCTGGGGACAGCTGTGACACCCTGGGGACAGCTGGGGACCTTTGGGGACAGCTGCGACACCCCGAGGACATCTGTGACACCCCGGGGACAGGTGGGGACCTTTGGGACAGCGGGGGGAGCCTTGGGGACAGGTGGGGACCTTGGGGACACTCAGGGGCACCCCTGGGGACAGCTGCGACACCCCGGGGACAGCTGGGGACCTTTGGGGACAGCTGGGGACCCTTGGGGACACCTGGGGACCCTTGGGACACTCAGGAGCTCCCCTGGGTACAGCGGGGGAACCCTTGGGGACAGCTGGGGACCTTTGGGGACAGCTGCGACACCCCGGGGACAGGTGGGCCACCCCCCGGGGCACCCTTGGGGACAGTGGGGGGACCCCGGGGACAGCTGGGGACCTTGGGGACACTCAGGGGCACCCCTGGGGACAGCTGTGACACCCTGGGGACAGCTGGGGACCTTTGGGGACAGCTGCGACACCCCGGGGACATCTGTGACATCCCGGGGACAGGTGGGGACCTTGGGGATACTCGGGGACAGCTGAGCCACCCCCCGGGCACCCTTGGGGACAGCGGGGGGACCTTTGGGGACAGCGGGAGAACACCCCGGGGACAGCGGGGGGACCCTGGGGACACTCGGGGACAGCTGAGCCACTCCCGGGGTGCCCTTGGGGACAGCGGGGGGACTTTTGGGGACCCTTGGGGACAGCTGGGCCACCCCCCGGGGGCAGCGGGGGACCCTTGGGGACAGCTGGGCCACCCCCCGGGGGCAGCAGGGGACAGGTGGGGACACTTGGGGACAGGTGGGGACCCTTGGGGACATCTGTGACACCCCGGGGACAGCGGGGGGACCCTTGGGGACACTCGGGGACAGCTGGGCCACCCCCCGGGGCAGCCTTGGGGACATCTGGAGACCCTTGGGGACAGCTGTGACACCCCGGGGACAGGTGGGGACCTTGGGGACAGCTGTGACACCCTGGGGACACTCAGGGGCACCCCTTGGGGACAGGTGGGGACCCTCGGGGACACTCGGGGCCATCTGGGCCACCCCGGTGACACCTGGGGACAGCGGGACAGGTGGCACGGGTGACACCGGTGGCACTCGGACAGGTGGCGCGGGTGACACCGGTGGCACTCGGACAGGTGGCACTGCTGGCACTGGTGGCACTGCTGGCACGGGTGGCACTGGGGGGGAGGGGAACAGGTGGTGAGGGGGAGGGGAGGGGGGAGGGGACAGCGGGGCTGGGCTGCTTGTACTGGTTTGTACTGGTTATACTGGTTTGTACTGGTTTGTACTGGTTATACTGGTTATACTGGTTTGTACTGGTTTGTACTGGTTATACTGGTTTGTACTGCTTTGTACTGGTTATACTGGTTATACTGGTCATACTGGTTTGTACTGGTTTGTACTGGTTATACTGGTTTGTACTGGTTATACTGGGTTATACTGAGTTATACTGGTCCATACTGGTCCATACTGGTCCATACCGGTCCATACTGGTTTACACTGGTCTGTACTGGTCCATACTGGTCCATACTGGTCCATACTGGTTTATACTGGTTTGTACTGGTCCATACTGGTTTACACTGGTCCATACTGGTCCATACTGGTTTACACTGGTCTGTACTGGTCCATACTGGTCCATACTGGTCCATACTGGTTTACACTGGTCCGTACTGGTCCATACTGGTCCATACTGGTCCATACTGGTTTACACTGGTCCGTACTGGTCCATACTGGTCCGTACTGGTCCGTACTGGTTTATACTGGGCAGGCCATGGACGCCCCCTCCGATGAAGGTGACGATGACGATGACGAGCAGCCGCTGTCCCAGGAGCGCCCCCTGCAGGTCCGGACTGGTTTGTACTGGTTT